AAGCCAATACTCTTCCTTTCTCTATTTTGAATGTGGATCAACTCCATCCTTTACTACCAATAAATGTTATCATTTATTCTTTTGGTAATAGTCACTGAATAAGATATGTCTTTCTTATAAAAAGCTCATCTCCTGAATGTCCATCAGTCTTTATACTGTAAGGTATCAGTCTTTATACTGTAAGGTGCCAATTTATGTTGTGTAAAGAATTCAAGGCCTGGAGAGAATCTATTTCTTTTTCTTGGTAATTTAGATGGCTATGCCCTGCCATTCAATTATACTAATTATTAAAACACATTTAAGCTCTGCCAAGTAAGCTGAGAGTAAACACAATAAAACAAGATGATCTGGTTCTTCTTTGTATTTAGGTAACTTGACAAAATCTTAACAGAAGTTTTGTAAAACCACATCATACACAAAATTAGGTTGAACAAACAGTTCAACCTTTTTATTCTAAAAAGAGGATTTTTTCTTGTTTTTATAGAAATATATGGAATTTTCAGTTGCTAATTTCAGCTGTACAGAGCTACAATTTACCATAAACATTCTAATTTTTTTTTATTATTCTTAAGGTGAGAAAGTACATTTAATACTATATTCTTTAAAAAAAATCATAGACATGACTTATTTAAAAACTGTCATACAGTTTTTTTTCTATCTTACAGGCTGAAAGTAAGATTACAAAAAAATGTCAGTGATTTACTTAATTATTACATTAGCAGTGCAATCACCTAGGATCTCCTATGTTTAAATAAAGAAGAAGTTTTTTACACAATGTCATATCAATTTGAAATTCCCAGAGGGATTTATTGCCATAGAAGTGCAAAAATAACGTAATCAATTTTTCAAAAGTAATTTTTGGCCTTATATTTTGTTTTCTGATTATATATATTGTTTTGTTTTTACATGTTGTCTACATGTATTAAATAAAATCCAAGGTCAAATCATTATGTTTTTGCAGAAAATACAGAACAGGCTAACAAGTTTATATATATATACACATATATACAACATAAACAAGTTTATTTTTAGTATGCCTTGAACCTTGTGTTGTTATTTCCAAGTGGATGCATACGTCTGATGTGTATGCATGTGTATGTATGTATGTATGTACGTAGCTAACATAGTTCAAAAAAAAAACCTAGAAGTCAGCAGTCTTGAGGGCTTTTTTTTTTTTTTTTTTTTAAGTAAAACTTACACTAGTTAAATGAGAAGTGTGAATTACATAGAATCAGAGAAGGTAGAGATCATCAAGTCCAAACGCCCTGCTCCAGCAGGGACACCCAGAGCAGGGGGCACAGGGCGGCATCCAGGCAGGTTTGGAAGATCTCCAGAGAAGGAGACTCCACAACCTCCCTGGGCAGCCTGTGCCAGGGCTCTGTCATCCTCACAGGAAAGAAGTTCCTCCTCACTTGGAGATGGAATTTCCTGTGTTTCAAATTGTACCCATTGCCCCTTGTTTTGTCAATGGTTTGGCCACCACTGAGAAGTGTTTCATCCCTTCTTCTTTACATTCTACCCTCAGATATTTGTACTTGCTGCTAAGATCCCCTGCTAATCTTCTCTTCTCCGGGCTAAACAGGCCCAGCTCACTCAGTCTTTCCCCATTCCATAGGTGCTCCAGTCCCTTAATCATCTTGGTTGCTCTTCTCTGGACCCCTCTAGAAGCTCCACGTGCCTCTTGTCCTGGGGAGCCCAGAACTGCCCCCAATACTCCAGGTGCGGCCTCCCCAGAGCTGAGCAGAGGGGCAGGATCCCCTCCCTCCACCTGCTGGCAACATCCTCCTGATGCAGCCAGGATCCCATGGGCCTTCTTGGCCTCATGGTTAGCTTGGTGTCTCCCAGGTCCCTCTCCATGGAGCTGCTCTCCAGCAAGTCATCCCCTAGCTTGTACTAGTGCCTGGGCTTATTCATTCTGGTGCAGGACCCTCATGCATGTTTGGAACACGCTTAAACTTTAGATTCTGAATGCTGAAAAGCAGTATGTGGAAATGGTTCTTGTTCCATTTTCTGCTTTGGTCGTCCTTTTGGTGTAAGGGGCACAAAAACTGTAACTCTGAATGAGATGTTAAACATCTCCTGGACTACTGGACTACTCTTAAAGGACTGTGAATGTCTGGGAGCAATTATGAGACAGTGATGTATGGGCAGTGAGTGTGTGATGGTCCAGAGCAGTGCAGTGCTGCCAAAAGCGCTTCACTTTTGTTTTAATTGTGAAGTACCCAGTCCCTTCTGTACACTAACTGCTGAACAGTATTCTTCATAGGAATCTTTTCAAAGGAAGGTGGAAAACATTCAGGGATGTATATTTAGCCCAGAGTATATGTGATGTTGTTTTCTGTTTTCCTTTTACCTTTTTGGCTTTAGAACTTAATGCTTTTTCTCTGCTCTGCAGATCAGCGGGAAAATAAATCTGTGTCTTGCTTTAACTCTTCACTAGTCCCCAGGAAGCCCACAGGAGTGTGATATATGAATGCTTTACTACAGACTGGGAATAACAGTGATAGGCAAGTGATAGTGGTAACAGTAATAATGACTCAAAAAAGCCATAATGCTTCTTGCTATATGTTCAACGTCTGTCTGCAAACGTTTATGAGCAAAATTGTGTTTAGTGAGAAATTAGGTATGTAAAACCTTCCTTCAGGCAGTTAGTATATTAGTATCTTGCTGGTGTATTAGAATATGGATGTAGGTCACCGAGCACACTGAAATGCCTGTGTCTCCTGGTGTCCTGTTTATAGGACTTCATTGACAGATACTTCATTAAAGGTAAAATATTTTGTTATTATTAAGGTGTGCTGAACCACAGTGATTGCAATGAATTGTACTGGGCATCTCACTAATTAGAGAAATTCCAAAAACTTTTATGGCACAGTCCAGTACTTACATGCCTGACTTAAACATATCCATAAGTGTTTGTGTCACATGAAAACTTGTGCCAGCAAGTTGTCCTTTGCAGCTTTGCAGTGTTTGAATTGTGCTTTTCTTTTTTTCTTTTTCTTTGTTTTCTTTTTTTTTTCTTTTAGAGAAAGAAAAACAAGCTCAGTTTCCTAGTGGATTTGGAAAACAGATCACTATTTTAAGTTTCTTATGAGCTGGCCTGATACTTCAAGTCCTTGGGCAAAGCTCATCTCATGAAGCATTAAATCAGAATTGTTTTCTTCCTGAGCTTCTCAAAGCTAATATAAAGATGCCAAGCCCTCTTCCTCTACTGACCTGACAAATTCAAAGCAGGATCTCTTCCCAGGTTTATACCACAAATTGTGGGTTTTGGTACTAGTGAGGGATCAGCTGCTAGCTGTGCTTTCAAGATAGTTAGGAGACAATTTTATGTATTAATGGCCCTGCCCCATAGCACAGGCATCAGCTGAACATGGCAAGTCTATATATTACAATCCCTGTGGATCAATCAGCAAATGTGCAGTAGCTTCATAAGGATCTTCAGAAAGAGAGGACACTAAATAGTCTATTTGGGCTGCTTGTACCCAAGACTGGTCTTCATTTAGGCTGCTCAGCTGTGGGATTGTAATTTAACAATATGAGCTATTTTTAAGTTATAGTTAAAGGTTTGAAGACAAATTTTGAGTTCACTGAGCCCTTCCTCTCACTTGATTAATCAGTGATTTATACATATATAATGACTTTAACTGACTTAAGGGGTAATTTATGTCATGATGGGAATGATATATGTATCTAAATAGACTAAAGAGAAGGAAAAAAGAACCATCTGTTCATTGAAACACTGTTGTCTAAAAGAGTCAAGAAATGTGTTTGAAAAATGTGCTTAGAAAGAGAAATTAAGCCAAATCTTTTTTTTTTTTTTTTTTTTTTTTAGCTTGGATGATATTCTCATTGGGTATATGTAGTCCAACAAAGTTAGGAACTTGTTTCTAAACTTTTGCATTACTTTATGTTCTGTAACTTGTTCAAAAGGCTGTATTTTTCATGGAAATGTGTAATACTGGGTATACTGGTGTTGGTATAACAGATCTGTCCTGTGTCCTGATCTTCACAGTGTCCATGGAAAGTGCTGTTTTTGCAGGTTCAGGACCTGCACGCAGCCTATACCAAACGAGGTGGAAGTAGCATGTCTGGGGAACAGTAGGATCTCAGAGCAGAGCCTCGAGCACGAAGGTGTCAATCACTCCCTAAGCCTCTTACCTACCTGTCTGGTAAGGGTTTGTCAAGTGCGAATTCTCATTTTGCCCCACTCCTATGCAATGGGAGCAAATGAGCTAGCTAAGAAAAAACGTTCATGCAAGTTCCTAAATATGCACATGCAAACCGTGCGTACTTCAAGAGCACAGCTTATGTACGCCAAGATAAGCAAATGCACAAGTACCTGTGAGACCGGGGCTAAACCTTCTGCCGGCGGGGGAGTAACCATTAAACAGAGACGTGTGCAGCATTTCAAACGCGCAGGTGGACTAGCAGGAGCTCCAGCAGCCACGCGCACACACCAGACAACCGCGACTTTGTTTTTAATATATATACATTAGCGGGGCGCGCCCGAGGGGAGGCGGGCAGGGGGCGCCGGGCGCCGCCGGCCCGGCAGGGGTCACTGCTGCGGCGGCGCGGCCGGGCCGGCTCCGCGGGGAGCGGCGCGGCGGAGCGCGGCGCGGGGGCGGCCCGCGGCGCGG